CTTGCTTAAAAATTTTTCTGCTCCATTCAAGATGATCTAATTCTTCAAAATTATGTCCTTGCATCAACATTTTTTTCCCTTTTATTAAGATAATTTTTTTTTTTATCAATAAACGGAAAGCTCTATTACCTTTACCTTTACACTCTAATCATAAAATCATAAATATAATCATAAAATAAATTTTATAATCGAAAGCCGCAATCATTTTATATGAAAAAAATTTTTTCAACGATAGCAAACTCTTTCTTCGTGCTATAAATAATTTCAGTCGTCGAAAATATTTTTCTTGAATCATATTAGAGATAAAAAAGTGAATGTAAGACAGAGGTTCTGTCAAAAATAAAAGAAAGAAAAATTTCCTTTCGGCTCAAATTAACTTTTGTCTCTGTGTAATCGAAATTCTAATTTTTTTGACATAATATAATGAGCAATATATTTTTATAGATGTACATAATATGTATGAAATTGCGTAGTGATTAAACGGTGAGTTACGAAATGAGCGTAAAAATAGTATAAGTTTATCTCTATCTTTCTCCTTTTTGGTGTTGGTATCTAATAGTTTTTATCATGGCCACAGAGAGAGTGCCAAGAAAAATCTTATACGTCTGACATATCATCTAAGTAGGTCAAATTTCCTGACGCCTGAAGATTACTTGACATATTATAGAAGGGAAAAAAAAAACATGCTGGCAACAAATTGAAACTTTTATTTTATAAGTTTTTTTTTTTCAGTTTTATACTAATAGCATTCAGTCATTAAAATAAAATACTTTTCATTTCAATTTAAAAGTATATTTTATAATTATTATTATTATTTTTTCATATTAAAATAATATTTTTTTCTTGAATATACTTTATTGAAAAGAATAAAAAATATAATGTACTTTTTTAAATTCCCATAGATAAAAGTGGTCATCAACCCTTGACAGTACACCCTTGAAGAAAAATGATAAAAAAACTTTCAAAAAAAAAACTATATTGAATCGATACTTTGTAACTTTATGCTTTACGTGCGATAAATCTATTGAACCGGAGGTGATGACTACCGTAATTTCGTGCTCGTGCACCCAACCCTCATGAACGCATCGTGGTGGAACGAGGATGTAAAGGATAGGAAAAAGTGAGAAGCCCTTATATTAAGGAATGCGCGTGTAAGAGTAAAAGAGAAGAATGAGAGAATGAGATAGACAGAACGAGAAAAAAAAACTAGAAATGTGGAAGGGTGAAAGGCGGAAAGCAGACAGGCGGCAGACGTCTCATGCTCATCCATCCCCTCTTCTTATCTTTTCAATCTCCACCTTCGTCCGTTTGCACAACTTCCTATTCTTTATTGTACTTAAGATTTACTAAACCGTTGCATACAATATCACCTTTTTGACTTCATACAAATGAAAGATCGTTGAATGAAAAAATTTTTTTATTAAAACTACTCTACTAATAGAGTATTGTAGAGTGAGGAATAAAACGAAACAGTTATAGGTAGACGAAAAGAAGGTTTGCATTATTCGAAGTCTCAAATCCCGTGTGACATATTGAATTTTTTTTATTGAATGCATCGCGACTATTTCAATATCAGCAGCATGAAATGAGAAGATTCGAAATCAATGAGTAATGTTCCAATGCGCTGAAATTGAATCAGAAATCGAGATATATAAACAGTCAAGAAGTATCTTTTGATTTTAGAGAAAGATAGATGCTCTTATTATGCTAACTTACATTTTTTGTATCAATATATAATTTTTTATATTTACAACTTTTCAAGAAACTTATTCTGAAGACAACTAGTTATCTCGCTTCAAAAATATCTTGTCTTGAACATCGTCATCTTGGTTTGATAGATCAATATCTTCAATCGATAACTGTTGTCACTTGATTTACAAGTAGATTGGCTTCAAAATTAATAATACTTTCATTTTTTTCTTAGAACTTTTTCTTCTTTGCTCAAGAACTGGTTTCTTCATTCCAAATAACAAAAGTCTTTTTAAAAATCGAAATTTCTGCTTCAATATATTCTGAAATGTATTTAAGACTTTAACGATGCAGAAATAGTTGCAGAAATTCGCGAATTTTTGGTTTTATCAACATTCTTAAAAGAAGTCGGTACTATCTCAAATCAACGTTACCACGTATCTTAGTCCTTGAAAAAGAGATTCTTCGACGGTGTGTATGCGTACCTTGTTTGAAAATAGTAAAATGCCTCGTTAGAGTTAAATTCTTTCAAAAAACTTTCTGCTTGTATAAGAGTTTTAATTTATTGATTTGCAAGTTAATTTCTTGAATTAAGAAAACTGTATACCTTGAAACAAAAGTGAAATTTGAAGAAAACATTTTTCTTATTCGCTTCGAGGACAAATAGTACACACACATTTTTTGTGTGTATATTCAGTGTCTGTATACATTCGTGTATCCTCACGAACTTACGTCTTATGGAGAACATCTTGTAAATTATTCGTCATGAACTTCCCAAAACCGTAACCTCTGACGCTAGCCTCAATCTTCTCGAAGTGAATATCAAGTATGTTTTGCAGTGTACCGTTTTCTAATTCGTACAATAAGTAGAATGAAAAAAAGTTGAGGGTCAATAACTGAAAGCATCATAATATTGTAAGCAAAAATGACTTTATCAAGACGGTACACTACACGGAGAGAAATTTATAGGAATCTTTCCAACAATTATGGGAATGGCTCCTATAATAAAATTATCATTGTAGGCATTAATCCTATACTCATTATGGGAACCATACCCATAATTTATTGGAAACGTTCCTATACAATAATGGAATAGCTTGAATATATTATGGGAATGGTTCCTATAATATTATAGGAATGGTTCCTATAATATTATAGGAATGGTTCCTATAATATTATAGGAATGGTTCCTATAATATTATAGGAATGGTTCCTATAATATTATAGGAATGGTTCCTATAATATTATAGGAATGGTTCCTATAATATTATAGGAATGGTTCCTATAATATTATAGGAATGGTTCCTATAATATTATAGGAATGGTTCCTATAATATTATAGGAATGGTTCCTATAATATTATAGGAATGGTTCCTATAATATTATAGGAATGGTTCCTATAATATTATAGGAATGGTTCCTATAATATTATAGGAATGGTTCCTATAATATTATAGGAATGGTTCCTATAATATTATAGGAATGGTTCCTATAATATTATAGGAATGGTTCCTATAATATTATAGGAATGGTTCCTATAATATTATAGGAATGGTTCCTATAATATTATAGGAATGGTTCCTATAATATTATAGGAATGGTTCCTATAATATTATAGGAATGGTTCCTATAATATTATAGGAATGGTTCCTATAATATTATAGGAATGGTTCCTATAATATTATAGGAATGGTTCCTATAATATTATAGGAATGGTTCCTATAATATTATAGGAATGGTTCCTATAATATTATAGGAATGGTTCCTATAATATTATAGGAATGGTTCCTATAATATTATAGGAATGGTTCCT